GTGCCCAAGGCGCAGGCCCTCCACGATCGGAATCTGGCTGCCCAGCAGAGTCTGTACCTCAACAATACAGCAACGTTAGCCACGCACTGTGTGTCGCGTGTGGTGTCGTGTGCCATGAGTGCGTGTGGTGTGTGAGTGGTGTGCTGGACCTTGTGCGTGACGTGGTCAGGCTGATCACGCTCGATGCCCAGGTAATCAACGCCGACGGCCTTGATGCCTGGGTGCAGAAATGTTAGCATTTCGAACGTTCACGTTTGGAAAGATGAGGAACAGACCTCTCTCGCGCAGGTATTCGGCACCGGAGATGTGGAGAAACACGAATTTGGGGTTGAACGGCGCCGTCGTGCTCAGCGCGCTGTTAGCGGTCTTGAGCAGCACGATGACGCCCTTCTCTATGACCGCCTCGTGCTGCTCCAACGCCTCGCGCGTGATCGCGTCCCCCTATTTCATCGCGCACCACCGCACACAACATCACCACACGCAGGCTTAGCCAGCGAATGGCCATTCTTGTGGAGGACACCCCGCTACCTCGATCTGGGTCAAGTCAAGCACGCAGCACCTGCCCGCGAGCTGCGTCAGCGACGTCTTCTCGATCGAGTGGCCATCTGCCGCACACGCACACCACTCTGTAAGTGTCGTGAGTGTGTCATGTGTCGTGTCGTGTCGATGTGGAGCACCTTCGAGGAAGTGTGCGGGGGCGTCGATGTGGGTGCCGGTGTGGAGGCACATGGTGAAGCGCGACTCGCGCGCGTGGTCCTTGGGCCAGTCGCGGAAGCGGTCGACCGTGTAGGCGCGCTCGGGGGCGTCCTTGAAGGCCGTCACCCCGGCCTCCAGCGGCCAGCTCACGTCCACCACCTGACCACCCTCCTCCCCCTCCGGCGCACCAAACAGGGAGTCTGCGATAACAACCGGTGAGTGCTCGCAGCCCAAGAAAACGGAGAGGGAACCAACCCAGCAGCTGCAGCTTGTTCATGGTGCCAAGATAAATTTCTGAAATAAAATTGAAAAAAACGAAAAATAAAAGCTAAATGACAAAACAATATAAATTGCTTAGATGGAGAAGGAAGGGAAGCGGGTGGTGCGGGTGGTTTACCATTGTCCGTGCCCAGATGGTGCCTGTCTCCCCCCTTTGATGCCTGGGGCTCCTTCTGATCATCTTCACACAGGAAGTTAAAAGTGAAGTCCATCTTCTACCTCGCAGGCGCGTTTGCGGCGCTGGCGGCGTACCTGCGGTTCCACAAGGATTCGCTGGTGGACGTGAGCTTCGTGCCGCACAGCACCTCCCATCCTCTACGCGTCGAGGACAACCCCGCCTTCACCCCCGACGCCCACGTTTTCCTGTACGTGTAGAAGAACAAAGCGAGTGTGTGGTGTGCTGTGCGCGGTGTGCGTGTGCGGTGTGCGTGTGCGAGGATGGCGCACTGACGTGGCAAGGATCGCAGTTTGGACTACGTGGGCCGTCCCGACCTCATCCGTCGCCTCGCCAGCAAGGTACACAGTAAGAAACCGCTATGACGTGGAAGTGGTCTCATCTGGGCTGCCCAGGTGAGGCACATCACCCTGCTGGACCACCACGAC